GATCTGATGTTAGGATACACACACATAAAAGAATAACATTTAAAAAATTTAAAACAAAGAATACAGCCCTGTCACACACTTTTCTTCATTTTAAACTATGTGGTATTCTCTTGCTCTGTTCACACAACAGCTTCTTGGTCAAGGCATTGTTTTCTCATGAGCACAATTAAATGTTCTGGGACTTTTCATTCTTCTCAGTGATAATCCCTAATTTGTTGTGATCCACATAGTCAAATGCCTTTGCATTGTCAATAAAGCAGAACAGACCTTATTTTGCTACTCTTTGTTTTCAGCCTGGACCCATCTGACATCAGCAATGATACCCCTGGTGCCACAGCTGCTTTTAAATCCAGCTTGAGTTTCTGGCACTTCTATCTCTATGTTCTAGTCTAGCCATTTTTTAATGATCTTGAGCAGTATTTTGCTTGCATATAGTAGTAATAATATTGTTAGATATTTCAGATATTTTATTGGATCACCCTTCTTGGGAATGGGAACAAATACAAGTCTCTTCCAATTGGTCTGCCAGGCAACTGTCCTCCAAATTTCCTGTGATAGGTGGGTGAGCATGTCCAGGATTGTGTCTGTTAGTTGAAACCATGTTAGTTGGTATCCCACAGATTTCTTGGGGATTATTTTGTAATAACCTCTTTAATGCAGCTTGAACTTCTTCCTGCATTTCCACTGGCTCTTGATGATATGGTGTTGGTTATTATGTACCATCAAGTCACCTGTGACTCCTAGTGACCCTACATACATTAGCTCTGAACTCTGCTCTATCCTGACCCAGTCTCACGGTCTCCAACACACCTACCACCATGACCACAGTTACTTTGTCAGTTCATCTCATCTGAGGTCTTCCTCTCCTGCGCTATCCACCCTTCCAAGCGTGATGTTCTTCTTCAGGGACGGGTGCATCCTGGCCACATGCCCAAAGTATGTTTGAGAGAGAGCTTCAAAAACGTTGCCTCCAAGGAACAGCCCGATTTCACGTTCTCCAGGGTAAACCTGTTCTCTTGGCAGTCCTTGGTATGTTCAATATGCTTCTCCAGAATTACAACTCAAAAGCATCAGTTCTTCTTCTGTCATCTTTGGTCATTGTCCAGATGTCTGATGTATAGTGTGCTTCCTGAAATATTTCAGTATTGGCCAGGTTTTTTTTTTTCGGTACAGTGATTTTGTGTATTCCCTCCAACTTCTTCCCTACCCTCTGCAACTTATTTGATGCTTTCTGGATCATTCAATGTTTTGCCCATAGCATCTCTACGTATTGCAACTCAAGGCTTGAGTTTGTTTTTCAGTTCTCTCAGCTTAAGAAATGCTGAGGAAGTTCTTCGCTTTTATTCAATTTCAGCTCTTTGCATATTCCATTATAATAGTTTGCTTTTTTAGCTGCTGCTGCTGTTGTAGGTGCCATGAAGTCAGAACCAACTTATAGCTAAGCCCCCAGCAGGTTTTCAGAGACAGCACAGGAGGAGATCGCCCATCTTTCTCCCAAGAAACTGGTGGATTTGAAACACATGCCTTTGGATTGGCAGCACAACTCCTTCCCATTAGGCCACCAGAGCTCCCTAAATGAAACAATAGTTGAAGTAGTAATTAATATTTGTTCTGAACATTTTACTTGCACTGAGTATTTTAAGAACTTCTTGCTTGAACTTCTCACAGTCCCCTGTATATGTATTGTTCTAGCTGTTTTTGAGATCTTTAGCAGTATTTTGTTTTCATGTGATGTTAATGATATTGTTCGATAGTTTCCACATTCTGTTGGATCGTGTTTCTTGGGATTGGGAACAAATGTGGACCTCTTCCAATCTGTTGGCCAGACAGCTGTCCTCCAAATTTCCTGGCATAGACTGGTGAGCACCCCCAGGGCTGCATCTGTTAATTGAAATGAGTCAATTGGTATCCCATCGATTCTTGGGGCCTTCTTATTTGCCAGTGCCCTCAATGCAGCTTCAGCTTTCTCCTTGATTACCCTTGGCTCCTGCTTATATGGTACTTCCTGGTGTTTTTCAGTGTCAGTCAGTTCTTTTTGGTACAGTAACTCTGTATTCCCTCCATCTTTTTTTGATACTTCCTGGGTCATTCAATATATTGTCCATGGCATCTTTCAGTATCGTGACTTGAGGCTTAAATTTGTTTTTAATTTCTCTCAGCTTGAGAATTGCAGAGCAAGTTCTTCCCTTTTTATTCTCCAATTCCAGCTCTCTGCACCTTCTGTTATAATACTTTGTCTTCTCCAAGATGCCCTTTGAAATCTTCTACTCAGTTCTTTAACAGGAATTAGGAGAGGCTGTGGCACCAAGGATATCATTGCTGATGTCAGATGGATCCTGGATAAAAGTAAAGAATATCTGAAGAATGTCTATTTATGCTTTATTGACTGTGTTAGAAGCATTTGACTACATGTATCATAACAAGTTACAGCTAACATTGTGAAGAATGGGAATCCCAGAGCACTTAATTGTGCTCATGCAAAACCTGTACTTAGACCAAGAGGCTGTTGTGCGAATAAGCAAGGGAAAACTGCTTGTTGTTGTGTACCATAGAGTCGGAGCCAACCCATATCAAATCCTCTGGTGGGTTTTCAGAGGCAGTTAATTGCATGGGAGGAGACTGCCTATTCTTTTCCTGCGGAGCAGCTGGTGACTTCGAACTGCGTACCTTCAGGACTGCAATGTAGCTTCTTGCCACTGGGCTACCAGAGCTCTTCCCTAAGGTACATGGTTTAAAATTAAGGGAGTCCACTGAAGCAAGATCCACACCTCACTCCATATACAAAAACCAACTTAAGGTGGATCATGGATCTAGGACTAAAACCAAGGACTATAAACTTCATTAAAGAAAACCTTGGAAGAATTCTAGTAGTCCTAATCTACAACATAAACAGTCTTCCAAGTATCCTGAAAAATGTACAACCAGGAGAAGATAAAATAGATGAATGGGACCTTCTAAGAATCAAATCCCTATGCACATCCAAAAACTTCTCCAACAGGGTAAAAAAGGGAAGTCACAGACTGGGAAAAAGTATTTGGTAATGACATGTCAGATAAGGGACTTATATCCAGAATTTATAAGATACTTGAGCACCACAACAAGATAAAGGTGAATAATCCAATAGAAAAATGGGCACAGGATATGAACAGACACTTCACCAAAGAAGACATTCAGATGGCCAACAAGCACATGAAGAAATGTTCAAAATCCCTAGCTCTAAGAGAGATACAAATCAAAACAACTATGCGATATCATCTCACCCCAGTCAGAATAGCAAAATTTAACAGAACAGCAAGCAACAAATGCTGGCAAGGTTGTGGAGAAACTGGAACCCTTATTCACTGTTGGTGGGAGGGTAAAATGGTGCAACCACTGTAGAAGGCGGTATGGCGCTTTCTCAAAAAGTTGCAAATAGAGATATCATTTGACCCAGCAATTCCACTACTGGGAATATACCCCAAAGAGACCATAACTGACATCCAAGCAGATATATGCACACCCATGTTTATCGTGGCTCTGTTCACAATAGCAAGGAGTTGGAAACAACCTGAAAGCCCATCAACAAACGAATGGATAGAGAAGCTGTGGTATATTCACACAATGGAATATTACGCTGCATTGAAAAACAAGGAACTCATGCAATATTATTCAAAATGGGTGACTCTGGAGGACATTATGCTGAGTGAAATATCTCAGAGCAAAAGGACAAATACTGCATGGTGCCACTGTCTGAGAAAAACTGGATAAATTGTGTATACTGCACTGAAAAAAAAATTTAAGGGAGTCCATCAAGGTTGTGTTCAGTCTCCATACCTGTTCAATCTGTGTGCTGAACAAACTAGTCGAGAAGCTGAACTCTATGAAGAAGAATGTGGCATCAGGATCAGAGAGAGATTCATCAACAACCTGCGTTATGCAGATGACACAACCTTGCTTGCTGAAAGTGAGGAAATTTGAAGCATTTGTTGCAGAAGAACAAAGCCTTCAATACGGATTGCATCTCAGCATCAAGATAACAAAAATTCTCATCACTGGACTGCTTAGCACATCATAGAGAAAAGATTGAAACTGTCAATAACTTCATCTTACTTGGATCTACAATCAACATCCTTGGTAGCAGCAGTTAGGAAATCAGGAAATGTATTGCACTGGGAAAGGCTGCAGTTGGAGACTTCTCCAAATTATTGAGGAGTAATGATGTCAGTTTGAGAACTAAGGTGCGTCTGATTCAGACCATGGTCTTTCCGATCACTTGCTATGTGTCTGAGAGCTCGATAGTGAATAAGAATGACAGAAGAATAATTGCTACCTCTGAGCTGTGGTGTTGGAGAAGAGCACTGGATATCCTGTGGACTATCAGAAGAACAAACAACTATTTCTTGGAGAAAGTGCTGGCAAAGGGCTCTTTGGAGGCAAAGATAATACAGTTTTGCCTATCATACTTCAGGCTTGTTGCTAGAAAGGGCTGTTCTTTGGAGAGGGACATGATGCTCAGAAAGGCAGAGGGTCGGTGAAGGAGAGGAAGACCCTCAACCAGAAGGATTGACATGGTGACTGTCGCAGGGGGCTCTAGTGTACGAGAGAGTGTGAGGATGGAACAGGATAGGACAGGGTTCAAATCTCTTCATAGGGTTGCTGTGGGTCTCACTCGACGGCACCTAACAACAACATTTTAAGAATTACCTTTGTTGTTACGTGCTGTAGACATTTTTATATGGCAACAAATTGACAGTAGCAACTGGAAAAATTAGGAACTGCAGGTAGCAGTGAGTTCATGTTTGTGAGTGAGGTTCAACTTTGAAAAACAGGGTGAGAAAGGATGCAAACTGAGTGTAGTCGGTGTAACTGAGTGGTACCTATAGAAACTATTGAATCGGTGTATATTTTGCTATGCATGTTCTCAACAGTGATAACAATATAGAAGAGAGAATGAATGAATATGTGAATCCAGGTAGATGTATATATGACAATCCCCTCACAGCTTCCCTTCATTCGCCCAGGACCCTTTTGGAGACTTGCTGAAGAACCTCATGGACAAAGTCCATGACCACCTGAACATGCCTGAGTTGAGCCGGGACTTCGGGACCCAGAAGTACGAGCAGCAGGTGATGGAACAGAGTCAGAAAGGTGAGGGGTTGTTCCCAGGCGCAGTAGTACTGGGGCAGGGTCTGCCTGGGCGGGCCTTGGGGGTGCCCAGGAGCGAGGCTGGAGGGGTCAGACAGAGCGGGAGCGCTGGCTGGCTCCTCAGACCCTGGTCCCCACCCTCAGCCGTGCAGGACAACCTTCCAGAGCTGCGTGTGTACCTGCTGCACCTGCGGCGCTATAACGACGCGCTGCTCATTCACGACACAGTCCGCTCAGTGGACGCCCTGAGCACGCTGTGGGACTTCTACGACCGGGAGTGCTCCACGAAGGCCCGCGTGCTGGAGGCCGAGCGCTGGCTGCTGAGGCTGTTTGATGGTGAGGCGTGGCCAGGGCAGGGGCCGGACCAGCGGTCAGGGGCAGCCTGACCCAGGAAGGGGGCCGGATGCTGGGGATTTTTCTATAACCAGAAATCAAGAGTGCGTATATAACACAAATTTTACTTCCTGAATTTACATATCAAGATTTGCATAGATGTGAAAATGAATTGCATGATTCACATTGCTTTTTTAATATATTTTATTTTAGTATTTTTTTGTGTATATCGTCAAATCAGATCTGACTGGTACCGGAGGAGATTGTCCCTCCTTCTCCAGCACACCATCTGGTGGATTCAAACCATGCACCTCTGATTACAGTGCAGCTTCTTGCCACTAGGCTACCAGAGCTCACCTCACATTACTTTTCTTTAGCCGCTTTTTTTTTTAATGTGGTTTGACTGAACCTTAACAGAGCAAATTGTTTGGTAAAGGTTTTTTAAAAACATTTAATTGGAACTGTCCCAGAAAGGGTTTTAAACTGGGGAAAAAAAGAGATGGTTAGAGGGTGATGAGGTTGGAGCCAGAAGCCACTTCATAGGCTGGGGGTCAAAGATCTTTCTAAAGAGATTTGAGATTAAGACTCAGTCCGGGCTGGCAGAGGCCAGTGTGAAAAGGTCGACGGTCAGCTACGCTGAAGAGGGTGTGGGTCGGAGTATGTGAAGGAAGATTTCTATACAGTAGGTCTAGCCTAGAGGCAGAGCACAGCAGATGAGTTGAGGGGCTCCCTCACCACTTTTGTGCCCTCCCCATACCGCTGCACCTCACTCTTACAGCCCTATCCCTGGAAGTCCTCCCCACCCTCAGGCCTGACTCCCATGCCTTTGTTTCTGATCTCTCCATAGGTCACAAAAAAGACCTTGCCCACCTGGCAGCTCAAGGCCCAGAAAATCCAAAACTGGAGGAACTGGAACAGATCCTGCAGGAACAGTTTGGGAAGCCCAGCAACCCCCGCGGCATCATCTTCACTAGGACCCGCCAGAGCGCCCACCACCTCCTGCTCTGGCTCCAGCAGCAGCCTGGCCTGCAGACTATGGACATCAGGGCCCAGATCCTCATTGGGGCAGGGCACAGTAACCAGAGCGTACACATGACCCAGGTATGGACCTTGGAAAAATGAGTTGTGGTTCCAGGAGTGTCCTGGAAGAGAAGATGGGAACAGGGAGAGCTTGGGAAAGGAAGGAAGACTGAATGGCCCTAAGAACAGAGTGTTAGAGGGCTGAGCCCTTACATCTCAGTGCATTTGGGGGATCCTTGGGAAAGAGGATAGGTAAAGAAGTTCCTCAGGGAATATTAGGGGATCTCTTGAGGAGAATATGGCCTGGGTAAAGTGACAGGGATTCTTGGAGATCTCTAAGTGAGGTAGGGATTGGATGATTCTCTGGGAAGATAGTCAAGATACTAGGAGTACTTGGAGAGAGGGATGGAGCTCAGGGTCTTACAGAGGAGATGCCAAAATCCTGAGTGAAAGGACTGAACTAGAAGGAGTTGAGCTGGAGGCCTGAGCCCCCCTCATGTATCTTCTCTCCCACCCCAGTGTGTCCAACAAGAAGTGATCCAGAATTTTCGAAACGGCACCCTAAACCTTTTGGTGGCCACAAGCGTGGCTGAGGAGGGACTGGACATACCCCACTGCAACATAGTGGTGCGCTACGGACTCCTGACCAACGTGATCTCCATGGTCCAGGTGCCTACATGCCCCACCCCAACAGTCCCTGCAGGATTGCTCACTCCTGGGACCCCAGTCCCACTGAGGTCTCCCCCTTGTGTCATTCCCCAGGCGAGAGGCCGGGCCCGGGCAGATGAGAGTGTGTATTCTTTTGTCGCCACTGAGGGCAGCCGTGAGCTGCGGCGGGAGCAGACCAATGAGGTGCTGGAGGCCCTGATGGAGCAAGCAGTGGCTACAGTGCAGAAGATGGACCAGGCTGAGTACCAGACCAAGGTCTGGGGGCAGCCTGTGGACCCTGGGGAGAGGGCAAAGGGCCTGCTACATATCATTCCCCACTTTGTCTCTCCTTGACGCTAAGTTGACTCAACCTTGGGAAATTTCAAGGGGTAGATTGGGAACTGAGACCCAGACAAGGGCTGCCGTGGAAGTCTGCTTGGGAACAGGCCTTGTCCAGGGCTCTGAATTTATTCTCCTCAGTACATACTCTGTGAGAGCATCATACCGCCCTTTTGGAACAAGACAGACGGGAGGAGACAGGAACATGTGCACAGAGCAAGTGCAGACCAGGACTTCAAGCATTCCCCCAAGGCAGGGTCACCATGGCCAGCCTTGCTCAGGACGTCCCCTGTGCGTACACATTATCTCATTTGTTAGGAATCAGCTTCCATTTGCTCTCCACTCCGTCCAGCTTAGGCAAAAATATTTTTTGTTCACCCTTCCCTGTACTGCTTTGCCATCCTCATGTTAGATTCAGAGAAGTAGCTTGATATGAATCCCACCGGAGAGGGAACAAAGATTCCTCTGGTAAACTTTCTCCCTCCTGCTGCTGCCCCATTCCTTTTTTTTTTAAAAATGTTATTATTTTGTGTGTGTGCCATCAAATCGGATCTGACCGGTACAGAAGGAGATTGTCCCTCCTTCTCCAGCAGAGCATCTATCTGGTGGATTCGAACTGCAGAACTCTGGGATTGCAGTTCAGCTTCTTGCCACTAGGCCACCAGAGCTCCTTCCCACTCCTTGAAGTAGTCAAAAGTCCCTGGAGGAGTAAGGAAAGTCCTGGGTACAAATAACCTGAGGAAACTGGGGACCCTTTCTCCCCTTGGAAGAATTCGTCGTGTCTGGTATATTGGACCCACACACCACTCTCACCCCAGATCCGGGACCTGCAGCAGGCGGCCCTGGTCAAGCGAGTGGCCCAGGCTGCGCAGCGGACCAGCCAGAAGCAGCAGTTCCAGGCAGAGCAAGTGCGACTCCTCTGCATCAACTGTTCGGTGGCTGTGGGCCATGGGAATGACCTGCGGAAGGTGGAAGGCGCCCACCATGTCAACGTGAACCCCAACTTCTCGTGAGACGCATTGGGTGGGGAGAATGACATTTCTCTCCACTTAGGCAGGTCTTTGAGGGTTTGAGATAAACAAGCATTTTCATGACAGTCTAGTTTAGGGTCTTATCACTGCCTGTTTTACAGGGAGGGAGCTCCATGGCATACTCCATAGGGACTGTTAACAAGTCAGACCTTTCTGATGGTTTGAATCCATCAGTGGCTCCATGTGAAAAAGATGGGCAGTCTCCTCCTGTGCAGTTTACAGTCTTGGAGACCCACTGGTGGGTCAGCGGGTTTCAATGTCAGCAGCAATACATTTGAGTTTTATTTTGTAGGTGAAGAAAGTGAGACCCAGAGAAGTGAAGTGAAGTGAACTTTCTCATGTTCCAAAACCACCATGTGATTGAGCAAGAGCTAGAATTCAGGGAATCAAATGCTGAAGGGCTCCAAGGGGTACAGGTCCTTTGTCCTACGTAATCTGAGAACCTGTGGAGGGGCTATAGTTGGACAGTGAATAAGGTTGGCAGAAGAAGATTGATGTTCTTGAACAGAGATGTTGGAGAAGGGTACTGAACATCTCATAGATGGCAAAAAGAACAAATATGTCTTAGAGAAGATACAGCCAGAGTCTCTGCTCCTTGGAGGCAAAAAGAACAAAGCTTCATCTCACACACTTTGAGCATGTTGCTAGGAGAGGTTTTTCCTTGGAGAGGGACATCTTGTTTGGAAAGGTGGAGGGTCAGCAGAAGAGAGGAAAACTCTCAACCAAGTAGATTGACATACTGATTCCAGCATTGAGTTCGAGTATGTCAGAGGTTGAGAGGGTGGCACAGGATAGGACAGGGTTCAAATCTGTTGTTCATAGGTCTCTATGAGTCATACTGAATTCATTGGCACATAACAATAGAGGGGCTGGCAGTCCTGAAGCTCTGCTCCCTAATTTCAGATGGAAGACACATTAGCTTGTAGTGGATCTTGAAAGTTAAGCTTGAAAGTTTTGCCCATTTTCATTTTCAGGAGGTCACACTGGCTGTTGGTAGAAAGATTGGTTGGGAGTAGGAGTAAAGGAGTCAGAGATGTTATTTAGAAGCTCTTGATACAATGCAGGTGGGTCAGTCAGATGGAGGCTGCATAGGCAGATGTATTGAACATGGAATTTCCTGGTCCTGAGGAAGCTCTGTGCTTCTTGATTCCTGGGCGGCCCAAAGCCCAGGTGGACGCTCAAGGAGGAAGGCATAAGATGAGGTCTGGAGGGTCCATGAGGACTCCCCCATGTGGTCACCCTCATTTCTCTCCAGGATCTACTATACCACTTCGCAAGTACCTGTGCTCATTGATAGAGTCTTCAAGGACTGGACCCCTGGGGGTGCCATCAGCTGCAGGAACTGTGGAGAGGTGAGTGCTTAGACTGTATCTCTTATCTCAGGTCCTGGTATCCTCAGCTCCCAGTCCCAGGGAGGAGGCCCAGGACCTGCCCCCAGGGAGCTTCTGTTTTGAAGGACAGTGTCTATTCTTTGCTTCATGAGCCCCAAGTCTGAGGAGGGTGGGTCAATCTGTCTTTTAAAAAATTTATTATTATTATTAATTTTAGTGAAAATTTACAGTCTTTTAATTTCCATTTATTTATTGTTGCTCTTTTCTCCATGCCCACTCCTCCCCTCCTGGTACACTCTTCTCTTTGAAAAGTAAAAGAAAAATTCTTTCATTGTTATACAGTCCCTCCCCGCAGGTCCACTCCACTATGCAGCCTTCATTCTGGACTCCTGTCATGACAATAATCTCTAATCACATATCCCTTTTTAAACAGTTTTTGCCCTCATTTGTTTCAATGCAGTATACATTATTTATCCCATCCTTTTCAGTCTCCCCTGAACCCCGATGTCAGTCTGTTTTACAACAGTGGCAATATGCAGTATTTGTCCTTTTGTGATTGAGATACTTCACTCAGCATAATGTCCTCCAGAGTCACCCATTTTGAATAATATTGCATGAGTTCCTTGTTTTTCAATGCAGCATAGTATACCATTGTGTGAATATACCACAGCTTTTCTATCCATTCATTTGTTGATGGGCACCTGGGTTGTTTCCAACTCCTTGCTATTGTGAACAGAGCCGCAGTAAACATGGGTGTGCATATATCTGCTTGGATGTCAGTTATGGTCTCTTTGGGGTATATTCCCAGTAGTAGAATTGTTGGGTCAAATGGTATTTCTGTTTGCAACTTGTTGAGAAAGCGCCATACCGCCTTCCACAGTGGTTGCACCATTTTACACTCCCACCAACAGTGAATAAGGGTTCCAGTTTCTCCACAACCTTGCCAGCATTTGTTGCTTGCTCTTCTGTTAAATTTTGCTATTCTGACTGGGGTGAGATGATATCTCATAGTTGTTTTTCAATCTCTCTCAAAGAGTTCTTTGTGATGGGAGAGGTAGCTTTCAGTCTAAGGTGGGATGTAGAAGCTCCTTTATTCATGGAGTCCCACCTTGAGGAGGGAAGCTCAGTTTGAAGGTGGAGACTCAGCTCTCCCCTCTCTGTCCCTCTTCCAGGCCTGGGGGATGCAGATCAGCTACAAGTCAGTGAAGTTGCCAGTGCTCCGAATCCGAAGCATGCTGCTGGAGACCCCACAAGGAAGGATACAGGCCAAAAAGTGGTCCCGTGTTCCTTTCCTTGTACCCGACTTCGACTATGTGCAGTACTGTGCAGACAGTCTAAATGATCTGTCCCTGAACTGACCACCTTGTCTTGGCTGTGCCAGCCTCAGGCTGCAGAGGGCAGCAGAGTCTGCAACAGCCTCCATCATTCCCTAGTCAAAGCCTGTGTTCTTGCCCCTCCTGCCTGAGTCAGACTTTGTGGACTGTGTGGCTGTGCTATCCAGCCACAGAGGAGCCCTGGCCAGACTGACTCTGGTGCCCTGATTGAGGAAGCTCTCAGAGAGTGACTGCCCCCTTTCACACCAAATGGTGCTTTCCAGTGTACAAATGGAACTGGGGGAAACTGAGGCTCTCTTGAAACCACAGGGTATTAAGAATCACGGCCGTTTCCCTTGACCCCTTGTCACCCCTCTTCTGCCATGTTATTAACATTTATTGAGGTTCTGCATAAATTAAAAATTTAGAAAGGAAAAAGTTGGATAGTTAATTTGCAGTATTTTAAAAACAACTTCAAAAAAATTTAAAAAAAGCTTCATGGATACAACTGACATCAAATACACGGACATTGAAGTGTGCCGTTTGCTAAGTTTTGACATGTGTGCTCTCCCCACAATCAGCATAACATGGCCATCACTGTTAACACTTTCCCCTGTGTCCCTTGGTAATCCCTACTTCCAGCCCCCCATGTCCACTGATTGACTTTGTGGGGTTTTTATTCTTTTTATTGTGATTTGAATGAAAGTGTATACCGGCTTTCCAGGCAACTCTTTAGACACTTTTATTTTGAAAACACAGTGTAGCAGCACTCTTCCTGCTTCCTTCTCGTGATTCTTGTTTCCATCTAGCCTACCTGATTTCTTTCTGCCTCTGCGCTTTGTCTTTTGCAGTTGATCAGCTTAAGGAGCAGCAAGTACCTCCCTGATGTTATTGGTCACATACTAGGTCTTTTGTTTGGCTGAAAGTTGAGCCACAGGGATGAGTTCATCTCCAAGCTTGAAGGGTGACTAAAGACCATGTTTCACACCATCAAGGCTGGTTGCTTTTCTGATTTTTGCATTTGATTTCATATTTCCTCCCACTCTGTCCAGGACCCTTTACTGTGATCTCTGCTGGGCACCATCCAGCGCTGACCCAGGGTAGGAGAGGTTGAGGCTCTGTGGTGTATTAGTTCCGTGGACAAATTGTTTCTTTGCAGCTTTGATGTTCTTTGTTCATCTTCATTCTAGTCAGGGGGAGACCAACACCTGTACTGTAGATTGCAAACTTAACTTTCTTTGTGGACCATGTTTGCTAATTGACCTTGATCTCCCCTGAGACTGTGGTTTCTGAAGCCCTTAGGACCAGCAACTCATTTCCTCTTTGTGGCTCATTTTTAATATTAAAGTTTTAGCACCTCTCTTTATGCTGTATGTGTAACCTTGTTTGCAGGAGCACCAAAAGGCTAAATTGAAGTCATTATGCATGTAAGACTATTATGCTCCCTTCACCCCATAACTGACCCCCAACACCAATGCTCCCTTCTCACCCTACTCTGATCCCTATGTTCTTTTCTCTGAGCTGTGGATATCCAGGATTGAAGGGGTGGGTTTAGAAGCTCAGGTAGGCATGTGAGTGGGGGTAGTTACAAAGGCCTCAATTTTCTGTTCTCATTTTCACAAGGAAGAAAAAGGCAAGATCTAGGTTGATTCTTCAGGGAAAGGCTATTTCTGTAGTTGGAGAGGCCCAGCAGGCAGAAGTCACCTTCAAGAGGAAGGAAGGGGGCTAGGGCAGAGATTTGAGAGGAGCATGGCAGTCCTGCCTAGCATCTAGCTACCATCCCTCCTGCTGCACCCTTGGTGTTGCCTCGGGGTGGATGGGAAATGAAGCATCCTCCTTTTCCCTAGCATCTTCCTTCAGTCACCATCTTGTCTGAAGGCTAAGATTCTAGTAGCAGTATTTTTATCTTTCATCCTCCAAGAGATGTAGACATTTCTTTCACCTAACCCTGCAGTGTCCCTTGGCACTGATGCCAGGAGTGACCCCTCTTCTTCCAGCCCCATATCCATCTCCCAAATTCCTTCTCCAGCCCATCAACTTCTGGCTTGTCTTCAGTTATTCTCTCCCTTGCCAGCAACGTGACTTTAACAGGTCAATAAAATTAGCAACTGGAGGCATAGGCCCCGGGGTGCTAAACTCAGTAGCTTTGAATGTGCCTGGACTCATGAAGACCAGTCTCCTATCACTCCAGGGCTAATCAGTGACAGCTGAGGGACCCAAGCTGGCATTGAGGACGGAGAGTGTGTCAGTGAAAGAATAAGGGCACCCTTGGTAGTCTTAAGGCTTTACACAGCTGACCATTAGCTGTGGGACCCTGCTTTTCTCTGTGATAGTGCTTGAGGGGGGTCCTATCTCCCACCTATTCTTGACATGAACGAGAAAACTAAGCAAAGAGGGGCTTGCTTGCCTCTTCAGTGAGGGGTCTCCACAACGTGGGGGCAGGATTCCAGGACATGCAGACAAGCTTCCTGCAGAAAGGAATTTCATGTGGTCCTGAAGATCCAGATGTCCCAGCTTCCCAGTCCTCCTAGTGGCCCGGATGCACGTTCCTTGCTCTGCACCTGAAGAGCGGCGCGCCCCAGCCGCGGACACCCAGGGAGGGGAGGGGCTTAGGGATCCTAGGCCCCGCCCCGATCCGGGCCCCGCCCCTGCCTGGCCCGAGCCGCTGCGCTCCGGAGCGCAGAGCAGGTGGCCGCGGTGGGCTCCGTCTCTGCCCTGCAGGTAAGTTAGCCACTGGCCAGCCCGGGTTGTGGACCTTGAGGGCAGGCAGGAGAGCAATGAAGCCCTCTCTACTTATTTTGTCCCTTTGTCGTCAAAGTGGATTATCCCTAGGGACATTGAGGACATTCCTGTCGCAGCGCTGGTCACCTCTCAACTCTGGGGAAGTTTGGAGGATTCTGGCTGCCTCTCCTTGACGTAAAGATTGGCTGCCAGGGCTGGAAAAGGACCTAGTCAGGTATTAGGGATGCATCTGGCTCATGTGAACAGGTTGGAGAAGGCGCAGAGGTCTCCGGAGTAAGGAAACCTGATTGGTTTGGCGTTCCTGCCTGCGTTTCATCCTAGTGCTTCGCTGACGGTAGGGAGGCATGGGTCGACCAAAAGGCTTCTGTTCTGTGTGCAAATGAGCTTAGAGCCTTTGTAGAGCTGAGCTGAGCTGGGACTTGAGTTTTCAAGTGAGTCCCTCGGCACCTGCATCATTTCTACCTGGCTGGGTACAAGTTGCACTGGTAAGGAGGCTGGAGGAGCAGGGAATTGTCCAGATGACCTGGGGGGTCCAGAAAGATGGGGATGGCAGGGGACACTGCTTAGGTCGTCGCTGTATGGGGAGGAGATGGTCAACCATGGACTCACACGCATGTCAAATTTCTGAAATGTGAGGAACATTGTCTCCTCGGAGATGGAGTTTGACCATAGGAACAGGATGTGCTCCTTGGATCGCAAGGAAGACTTGCTGGAAGTAGAAGTCCTGAATGGTCAGCTCAGATGTGATGCTTGGATTCTACTCTATACAGGAAATGCAGTCTTTGGGGCAGAGTTGAGGGTAGAGCTGAGAACCCTGGATTGTAGGATAAGAGGAGTCCAGGATGCTGCCAGCTGGATCCAGCCAGGACCTTGGCATTCCAGAGGTCATCAGAAGCCTTTGTATAGACTGGTGACACGGTGACAGGGTCAATGTCCTTGTCTGTCTAGAAGCCCCAGCCATTGTCACTCCCCACTAGACACACTAGCATTGCCAGGAAGTTTTTTCTCAGATCTGACCTTCATCTCTTCTGCTTCTGTGCCAACTTTTTTGCTTTCAGAAAAGACAGTTTGCTGTAGTGGAAAGTGTGGGCTCTGGGGCCAGATAAACCTCTTCTGTCTCCTCTACCTGCTGTGTGATGAGTTATTTACCCTTTTTGAATTTGCTGCTCACCTGTGAAAACGAGGATGATAATAATAGGACCCGTCTCATAGGGTAGCTACAAGGATTACATGAGAGTACGCACATAGGGTGCTTAGCACAGTGCCTGGCGCCTGGTGAGGGCTCAACAAGTATAAGTGTCCCTTCGTGTGTAGGACAGCAAAGCCCATCTATGGGGTGGGGTGGGGGAGGCGGAGTGGAAGTTTTTTCCAAACTTGGCCAAAGAGTGTGGTTTCCTTGATGAAGTATACCCCGTGCTGGTCCCTGGATCTCAGCTGGACTGAGTGTGTCTGGGCCAGCCAGGGCTTCTCCTCTTTTAGTCTTTCTCTCGCTTGTCTCATTCTTTGTCTCTTAGATGGGAGGGGGGGCAGTCTTCAAAGGGGCAGGCACCAGTGTCAGAAAAGCTCACTTGGAACTTTGTCTCAGTGGAACAAGCCCTGACTTGGAGATCCAACCTAAAAACAAAATGTCCCGTTGTCATCACCTCCCTGACCTAACCACCTCCAGAAATCCAGAAGTTGGGATCAAGCCGCACTAAAATTTTCCAGGAAGATAAATAATACAAGTAGCTGAAAGTCCTGCTTGGGGATTGTCCAAACTGCTCCAGTGGAAAGGCCACTTCAGTCCCAGGCCCAGCTCTGGCAGCTGCCAGGGACGGCTGAGCCCAGCACCACCCTTAAACCTGGCCAAGTGTGTTGGCCTACCCCTGGACACCCTCGTGGGGCTTTGCACTGGCCCTCTCCCAGCGCTCCTTTTCCTGCGGGGGTGAGGAGTAATGAGCCCAAGGAGGTAAACCTTTCAGGAACATATGGGTTCCCCTTCAAGACCACACCCTAAACCTGTGACTCTGGAGATCCCTACCCAGGGGGTCACCAGCTTGCTCCAGACCTGTGGATTCCTCTTTCTCTTTCTGTGGTCCTCAGGGCAGATTGTACCCCAGGACCTGCGGGGTTACTGGGGATAGCTGTTGGCAGGGTATGTGATTAGGACATGTGGGTTTGATTATCCTTACATACATCTGAGCCCCTTGCTGCAAACAGGGAATGGATGGGGTACCAGGCAAGGCCCAGGGGCAACAGAGAAGCTGCCTCTCCCTACCCAGCATCGCTCTGGTGCACAAACCCCGGCATCAGAAAACCTACAT